TTCTTCTAACTTAGATGGGTCCGTATGAACTCGGGGGTTATTTGAAATTATGATTTTAGATAGGGATATATGAATGATTATTTTTAGTATTTTAGAAAAAATTGCTCCTTTTTGTGGATATGCAGAAGCTAATCTGCCTTTCATTTTCCCCAAAGAATATTACATTGGGTAGGGCAAAATTTTAGTTTGTTTTTCTCAGCAATTATCTCCATAAATCAGTCAGTCTCTCTCTAAGTAATCAATCGGATATTGTAAAAAGGAAAAATAGGAAAGAAATAGGAAGAAACATGAACAAAAATATGGAAGAAAGGGGGCAAAAAGGAAGTTTATAGTATCCAATATGAAGTCCAGATAGGTTGTGAATCCATCGGGAAGTAGCTGTTTCCGGTGATGGCATAAACAGCGGCGAAGGCCGGCCAACCGAATAACGGTGTATATACATACCATGACCCCCACTGTGAGCATATATCTGCGAAAAAAGTTCACTTGAATTTAATTATAAGCCCTAAAACTAAACCAAGTCAAATGAAATTTGACGCACAAAACATACACACACAAATAATTTTGGGCTTTATGAGCTTTTTGATCTGTGAAAGTCTTAGAAAAAACAAATTTTCTGCCAAATTCCCAAATGCAGGAATTGTTGAATAAGAAACAAGTAGTTTTACTCAAAATATTTTAGGGAAATTTATCAAAGTATACTTAAGAGATAAATTATTTAACATTTTACCTATATCTTTGGATTTAATTCTAGAATAGCCATCAAATATGGGATTGTATACTATGATACCATTTACTTATGGTACAAGGTCATAATCACTTTTGGTCATTGGACATGAAATCCAGTACAAAAAATTGTATTCTTAGCATTCGATAAATTTTATTTTGGATTTTGTATCTAAACAATGACGCATCATCAACCACCGCGATCTCAAATCTAACCGTCAATGATGATTGTGACCTCCTTGGTCTCATTATATATATTTCCTCAAAATATATATAATCATGAATTTGAATACTTAAAAATTACTAAAATGTAAAATATATTTTGATAAATTTCCCATATTTTAATACCACTCTTTCCATGTTCCATTTCTCCACTAAAACACATAAATTAAAAGAACAGAATTAGAGTTTTCAACATATAACATACCACAAACTCAAAGTAGCCCTAAGAAAAATGAGAGGAAAGGTACTATAGGTATATATGTGAGGTTCCAATACTGAATGGCAATTGAATTGGTGGCGATAATAACTGTTGCAACAACAAGAAGGATCAAAGTAAGGAGCCTTAGGAGAGGTAGAACAGTAGGGGGGGTGAAGAACTTCTTAAGCCCCATAGTAGTAATGTCGATGATAATGATGAGAAGAGCCTCGATGCATGGTGATTATATAGGGAGGGGCATCAAGCCAGAATCTTATATTAGGAAAAAATCAACCCTTTTACCAATTCTGGATGCATTTTTAGGGGGAAATGAGTTTGAAAGGTACGTTCAAGGAAAAAAAATACATGACTTTGGAAAGGTCTAGCAAAACCATGTGGAAAGGAAGAGAAGACAAGTCACTTCTTGTGGAAAGGTCTAGCAAAACCTTGTGGAAATGACTTTGAAAAGTACGTTCAAGGAAAAAAAAATACACAACTTTGGAAAGGTCTAGCAAAACCTTGTGGAAAGGAAGAGAAGACAAGTCACGTATTTTGGAAAAAGAGTTGGATGTTGTTTTATTCAATATTAGGAAATTGTATGTGCATCTTAAAATGCAGTTATTCTTATGGATCTTGTGTTCAGATAAATTAGCAACATTTGATAACTTGAGAAGGACGGGGTTTATTATCACCAATATATGTTTCATATGCAATGACAGTGATGAAACTTCGCATCATCTTTTCCTCTCATGCATTTTTGTTACATATCTTTAGGATTGGGCTTGACATTGCCTCAATCTGTCATTATGTTTGCCCCAAAATGTTAGAGCTCTTCTTGACCAATAGATCACACCCAATATTTCAAAGATAGGAACTATTCTTTTGAGATTTATTTGGGCTAGCCTTCTTTGAAATGTGTGGAAGGAGGGAAATATAAGAGTCTTTGATAGTGTAAATGCATATCTGTCTATATTAAAATCAAACATTTTAGCAGTTGCAGCTGATTAGTTTCTTGCACATAAGGATATGGCTTTATTCCTAAAAGTCTTACTATTAGCAATCCTTTGGCAGTGGCGACTATGGGTGTTGCCACCAACACTCATAGTGAGGTTGTTTGGATACCACCATAAGTGAATTCCTTTAAACTTAATTTTGATGGAACTTCACTTGGCAATCCAAGGCAAGCTGGCTATGGTGGACTCATCAGAAATAATTTGGGTCACATTATAATTTCTTACTGGGGTCTTTGTTGTTCACAACAGCAAATGAGGCAGAAGTACGAGGTTTACTAGAAAGTTTGAAATTGCTATATGCATTGGAATGGGGCAGGATTATCGAAAGAGACTCGGCAAATGTCATTGCCTAGAGTAAGAAAAAGGCCCAAATTCCTTGGAGATTAAGGACTATTTTTCATCAAATTTGGGATATTTTGTCAACATCTATAGCAATGGTCCAACATTATTATAAAGAGGTGAATGAAAATGTCGATATTCTTGCCAAAGGAGGAGTCCATACACTCTCTCTGTTAATTACTTCATTTATGTAATCTTGTATCTTTACTTGAACATCTTGTATTTTACATATGAATTAATGATAAGTCGTACGTTACCATTCAAAAAAAAAAAAGTCACTTATTGTCGTTGTAGAGTGGTGAAGCGTATTGAAGATACAAAAAAAAAATTCCACACCATAGTGGTCACGTTGTGATTTCCATTTCGACTCACGCTATCCCATTAACACCTTCAAAAAACTAACTCTTAAAGTATTTGAAACAAGAGGGTTTGTCTTCCCTACTGAAGTACCTAAAAAAATAAAAAATAAAATAAAATCAAGAGATTTTATAATCCCTCAAATATATGCCCCGTCGAATAAATATTATATTAGTCAAGGACACGTTTCTATTCGGCCAGCATGCATAGTGTAGAAATGCAGGCTTGACGATAAATATATTTTTTTAAAATAATTTGATCTTCATCTTTAAAGAATATATAATATGTAACCTAGAGATCATGAATATGAAAAATAAAATAAAAATAGGAATAATAATTATATTAAAAAAAGTGTTTCGTGAATTAGCAAATGTTTAATATGAATCTCTACCATGAAAGATTTCGATTGGAAAAATATCTTATTGTATTTTGTTTTTTATATTCACAATTAAAATGGAGAGAATTAACATTACAATGGCAAGACTAGTGATTTAAAAATCGTCGTGTCGGCACAGACTCGAGCGAGTCGTCACTGGAATCGATCACCCCGAGTCAATTCCAATAAATTCCACAGTATTGCCGGTTCTTTTCTGCCCGAGTTTGTACAGTAAACCGCCCTCGGTTCTACCGAAAAAGGATCGTCGAGTCAGCATAGACTCCGATGAGTCGTTGCCCGAATCCCAATAGTAAACCGCCTTAAGGTACTTAGGATATTTTTTTGATATTTTTTGAAGGATTTTTTTATTTTTTATTTTTCAAAATGGGGGTTATCCCATTATTGGGAGTCACCACGACCATCAGGAGGCCCCACGACCTATACATTTGTGGTTGATGAGCGTCCTCAGGTCTTTTATACCCATAACTAGTCCTTGAATTTTTCAATGTGGGACAATTCCCATGGTAACAGTTTCGAAAGGTAATATATATTTTTATTTTGAAAGTTAACACGTTAAATGGCGTTGTGGCGTAGTGGTTATCATGTCTGTCTTTGATGGTGGAGGTTTCTTGTTCGAATTTTCAAGGGCAGCATTCATTTTTTTAAAAAAAAATTAAAATGTACCATCTTCTGATTGTTCTTATCAAAAACAAATTTTTTATTTTTATAACATGATGGTTTTTAACATAAATTTGAAAAATCTATCTCTCTCTCTCTACTAACAATCTCTTCCACTAAATTTATTATAGAAACCTAAAAAACTAGATTTTTGAAAAAAAATATTGCATTATAATTATGCAATGTACTATTTTTTTTTACAGTTGTCAATAATATATTTTAACTTAGATAATATTATAAGATATTTTGGATTTGTTTTAATTTGTATAGTAAAATAATTATAAAATGTAAACCAACAATTTCAATTTAAGTATATAATATTATAATTAGTTAGGTTGTAATAATTTTGAATAATAGTTAGTTAGGTTGTAATAATTTGGGTTTTTTTAGTGGATTGGAGTTTTCTGCCAATTCGAGATTTTGGTGACCATTTTTTCATCGATTTAATATATTCTATATTGTAATCCGTACATGATGATATACTTCATCCATGATAATTCTATGCTTATCCTTTTGTGTGATATAAATTTAATGGTTAACCGTAGTTTATGCAGAGAAAAAACATATCAATATTCGCATATTGATGTAAAAAATTGGAAGTTCTTAATGAAGTAACCCCATTTTTTATTGGATTCCTAAAAAACAACATTTATAATGAATTTTAATAATTTTTTCGGATATATTTTAAGACTAAATCCGACCAATTAGTCTTATCTTTTTATCCAGATCGCCGATTCACTGATTCGAATAAATTGTTGGGGTGCCCAATCCGAGGCACGGACCCTTTTTTTAAACCACTGGGGAAGACAATATTCACTTTCAAAAAAGGATTAACAATGCAAGTGTAAGACATCTCCTCCAAAAAATGACTCACCACCAACTTAGCTATTGTTAGGCCTCTCTCTCTCTTTAAAGAAAGCACGCACCACCAAGTTGTTATTTTTATGTCCCTCTCTGTCTCTCCTGAAGTTTGTTAAAGTCTTGCGATCCACTACAAGTAAATTGTGTTTATCATAAAGACATATGGAGAGCTAAATTGTTCTTGTGGGGCATTCATAGTTCTCCGTGCTAGTTTTACAGCTGGAGAGCTAATTTATTCTTGTGGGGCATTCATAGTTCTCCGTGCTAGTTTTACAGCTGAGAAAGCACACAGTAGGACCATGCAAAGAAATCCCATGAAGAGCAACCCCGCTGAAATTTTCATAACATTGAAAAAATCGGAAAATTTTGGCGATTCGTCCCATGTTTTCCGAAGCTCTGCAGAAACCGCCATGTTCACAAAAGCCGCGATCGATAACATAAAGCATGACACCTGAAAAAGTGCATTTATGTCGTTACCATGGAAAAACTTATATAAGGTGTCAACCTTATAGTGTAGAAGCAAGATGCACCTCAAAAAATATATCTGACACGATTATTATGACGTCAAGATCGTCTCAACTTTGAGATGTATGGATATGAATATTATAATTTTAAACCTTAAACATAGTGCATTTTGTAACATATTATCTAGATCGTTTATTTTCAAAAAATTTAAAGGATTCTATATCAAGTTAATTTATATTATTTTTGGAGCTTTAAATTTCATAATTGGAAGTGAAAATAGATTTTTTAAGTTATCACAAAGATTTCTTGCACCAGATCTTTTATTAAGATTTAGAGGTGCAGACTTACTTTGATTGTTTGAGGATCACACCCTACAAACCTCACACTTCATACAAGTCATCTCTTTTGAGGAAAATTATCATCCTGAAACCCCTGAAAACTGTAGTTCTACTGAGTCATTACAAACAGAAGAAACCAAAATCAAACCAATTAAATTCGAGGATCCAAACACCAATGACCAAGAATAGAGATTTTCTGTGGGGCTGCAATCCGGATACCTTGAAATTTCATTATATAAACCCCAAACCCCAAGAAACAAGCAACTAACACGACAATAAAGAGATCCAAAAGTTCCATAAAAAAGATATGTATCTGTGGATCACCAAATATATTCAGCTCAATTTTGTTCCGATTCTTTAAATGAGGACAGATGTTAGAACAAAAGAGAAAGACAGATGGTGCTTTTTAACTAACTGTATAATTTAGGGATGATGGACCAAAAAGTCTACCGTGACACTGAGAGAAAGATGAATTGTTTGATTTCCTTTCTACTACAACTAGGAGATGAGAGAGAATGTATCATAGAGTTTGAAGCAGTACAGAAAAAATTGAATCAGAACAGTTAACTGGATATGGACGGACGGTTCAACCAACCTAACCAGTAAACCGGCCGGTTCAATCGTCAAATCGGGCAAATCCCGGGCGGTCAACAACGCGTTAAAAAAATAAAAATAAAAATTTAATAAAATATAAAAAGTATATTTAAAACATGATTAACTAAAATGCATACAAATGAAGTTGAAAAATAAATAAAAAAAATGGATTTTAAATTATCGATTTGCATCTAAAGATATTTTTGAAAGTTTTTAACAAAGATGAAAAAATGTAAAAACAAATATTAATGGCCAAAACAATTTCCAATCTTTGCCAAAATGATAAAATAAAATTGTTAAAAAAAAAAAAACATTACAAACAAAATCCCTTATTTTTTAGATTTTTATATTTTTTTAAAATATACTTGGCCGGTTCACCAAAACCGGCCGAAACTGGAACAGGCTAGTGGCCAGTTGTGATCTAACCGGGTGGTTAGAATTTGAACTGCCCGATTTTTCCTATACTGGTTTAAAGGGAAAGGAAGAGAGAGAGATTTTGTGTTTCATAGAGTTTGAAGGGAAAGGTTTTAGATTGAATTGTGGGAATTGAGATGAGCAATTTAAAACCCCAAAAACGAGATTTTAGTTTCTCAACACCTAGATTTGAACGTCAGTATAGTTTAATAAACCAATAGTATTGAAGCTAATGAACAGTGTGGTTCAACATACTACCAAAGAAACAAAGAAAAAGACGAGAAGAAAGCAGGATCGTGTGCACATTCGCGATATAATTGGAGACGATTAGAGAGTGCCAAAAGATTTCCCATTCTTGTAGGAGTATATTATCTATTTATTCCTGGGGTAAAACTTACGCTAGAAATATCTTTTTGATATCAAATTTTGGGCATGTGATCTTTAGAATTTGGCAAACAATCCCAAAGAAAAAAATAAAATAAATCCTCACTCTTTATTTTTCCAAAAAAAAATGAAAGAATCATCCCAATATTGCACCGTAACCGTCTAATTTTTGAGAGAATGACCTAGATGTTTATGAACTTGAAATCTAAATTTTTTATTTGAAAATAGTCATCTAATTATCATTGGATGGATCCCAAAACTCCAAATAAATAAATAAAAATCCAAAGTTAGTATTTTACCAGAGGGAGTAAATGTATAGTCTGCTGTTAAGGGAGCATGGCATATGGAGAAATGAAATGTAAATGAATAGAATTTTATAGAACCCATCATAGAATCTTGTAAATTGGAGTTTAGAGTTAGACATCATGACATTTACTCTGGTACTCGTCCTATTAATTGGATTATAAACTAAAGATTTCATAGTCTTCAGATACATGTATGCATTTTTTTTATCCAAAATTATATCCTAAATAATCTCTTCGGTTCATAGAAAGCCCACAACCCCCTCCAAGTTAAAAAAAATTGGATGTTTAACCCCCTCTTTATCTCTTTATTATCGAAATTATAATGTTTACCCTCTTCCTTTTTCCAATACTTCCTATAAATAGAGTTTGAGATGATGTTTTAACCTCATTATGAAGTTTACGAGATCGGATAGCGATATGAGGGCTCAAGGGAGATTGAGAGAGGCGCAAAAAAAGTAAAAGAAAAGGGAAGCTTTTTTAAGTCTTAATGAAGGGTCACTAAAAACACCAAAATGATAAATATTATAATTTGGATAATGAGAAAATTGCAGATGGAGTTAACCGCCAGTTTCTTTTAGCCCGTCGGTTTCCATGAATTTGAGGGTTATTTGGAATTATGATTTTAGATAGGGAATACAAAGGTTATTTTTAGTATTTTAGAAAAAAATTGCACCTTTTTGTGGATATGCAGAAACTAATCTGCCTTTCATTTTCCCCAAAGAATATGACATTGGGTAGTGTAAAATTTTAGTTTGTTTTCCTCAATAATTATCTCCATAAATCAGTCTCTCTCTCTCTAAATAATCAATCGGATATTGTAAAAAGGAAAACTAGGAAAAATTATGAACAAAAATATGGAAGAAAGGGAGCAAAAAGGAAGCTCACAGTATCCAATATGCAGTCCAGATAGGTTGTGAATCCATCGGGAAGTAACTGCTTTCCGGTGATGGCATAAACTGTGGCGAAGGGCAACTGAATAACGGTGTATATACATACTATGACCCCTACTGTGAACACATATCTGCAAAAAAAAGTTCACTTGACTTTAGTTATAAGCCCTAAAACTAAGACAAGGCAAATGAAAATTGACACACAAAACACACAAAAAAATAATTTTGGGCTTTATGAGCTTTTTGGTCTTTGAAAGTCCTAGAAAAAGCAAATAAGAAACAAGTAGTTTTACTCAAAATATTTTAGGGAAATTTATCAAAGTATACCTAATAGATAAATTGTTTAACATTTTATCTATATCTTTGGATTTAATTCTAGAATAGCCATCAAAATATGAGATCGTATACTATGAAACCATTCACTTTTGGTACAAGGTCATAATCACTTTTGGTCATTGAACATGAAATCCAGTAGATAAAATTTTATTGTCACATTCGAGAAATTTTACTTTAAACTTTGTGCTCAAACAATGATGCATCCTTAACCACCCCGGTCTCAAATCTAATGGTCAATGATGATTGTGACCACCTTATATAAAACATAAATGGTCTCATTGTATACATTTCCTCAAAATATACATAATCATGAATTTGAATTCTTGAAGATTACTAAAATGTTAAATAGTTGACAAGTTATGCATATTTTGATAAATGTCTCATATTTTAATACCTCTCTTTCCATGGCCCATTTCTCCACTAAAACACATAAATCAAAAGAATAGCAGCAGAGAATTCAATACATAGCATACCACAAACCCAATTTGGGGTTTGTATTAATGGAATACCAAATCAAAGTAGCCCTATGAAAAATGAGAGGAAAGATGGGGATGGAGGTACCTATAGGTAGTGTAGTATCTATATGTGAGGTTCCAATACCCGATGTCAATTGAATTGGTGGCAATAATAACGGTTCCAATGGCAACAAGGATCAAAGTAAGGAGCCTTAGGAGAGGTAGAACAGTAGGGGGGGTGAAGAACTTCTTAAGCCCCATAGTAGTAATGTCGATGATAATGATGAAAAGAGCCTCAATGCATGGTGATTATATAGGGGGCATCAACCAAGATTCTTCTATTAGACTTATGAGATTGATATTGGTTATGCCTGGTGATGGGGATTATACTCTTAATATATAGTGAAATTGCGTTCATGTTTGTGTGGCAAAAGTATTGGATGCTCCTGTGGGAGCATATTGTGCATTCAGTACCTCGAGTGAAACACTATTTGAGGAGCACTTTTAAGACCCCAAAATTTGGAGATCTGACCTCTTACACCTAGAAATGATCATTAAGTAAAAAAAAAGAAAAAAAAATCACATGTACTATATATGTACTCAATATCTGAAGATTAGCTAGAGCATCTAATTTTTGGATGATAAGATCTAGGCATCTAGAAACTCAATTTTTAAAAGTCTAAAGCGAAACATTTGCCCGACGATCCTAAAATGGACCCCAAAATTCCAATTTGAAAAAAATCCTACCAATCATTTACCCATGGGAGAAGCTGTACATCCTGGTCATGTAAGATTATACTATACATGCACTTCAAAAGTGTGTATTATTTTTAGGAAAATTGTTTGATAGGGATGCAGCCTTATCAAAACAAATAAAGCGCCAGGTCATAATTCATCTAAAGCATTATAAAACATTTATATCAATCATCTTGGCTTGAACATTATGGTTGTGAAAAAGAAAAGGATTTTAAGCTCTACAAATGACGTATATTGTAACAAATTGTCTAGATCGTCTATTTCACCCTAAAAATAAGTGTTCATAGATCCGTGAAATCTATACCATTTTTTGAATTTCAAATTTCATTGTCGGCATTGAAAATTGATTTTAGAGCCATCATATAGACTACCGTTGCCGAAAGTGCTTTCAAGACCAATATTTTAGGTGAGGCAGTACTTTTTTTTCATAAAACCTAAGTCCTATAGAAACCTCATCATTTTTAATGATTTCAATACCGTGGCATTGGAATCATCATTTATTGTGGTTGTCTCATCCTAAGAGATGAGATGGACTCGAAAAGTAGTTTCTTGTGCCGGCCCAATATTAAACAATACATTTCACAATTCCAAATTAAGAGGCATTTGTTTTGTTATGAAGGATTTTCCAATAACGACCAAATGTTACTTGGTGGTCTTCAAGTGATAAGAATAAAGATTTTTAGGTCTTATTTATTTGGGGTAAGTTACAATTTGACCATTGTGTTCCCCGTACGCCAATCCAACTAGTTTTCAGATTTTCATATAGGAAAATGGTTTGATGGGGCTGCAGCTCTATAGTAAATCCTTACTTGTGGAAGTCAAGTATTGGAAAGCTTTTGCATCGATCATCTTGACTTGAATATTATGGTTGTGAAAAAAAAAAAAAGATTTTAAGCTCTAAAAATAATGTATGTTATAATAAATTATCCATTTTGTTATAATAATAAGTGTTTTGTACTATTTTTTGAGTTTCAAATTTGATTGTCAGTGTTGGAAATTGATTTTAGAGCCATCATAGATATTTTTGTTACCGAAAGTGCTTTTCGGATGAAGATTTCAGGTGAGGCTTTATTTTGTTTTCATAAAGACTACGCCTTCTAAAAATCTCATCCTTTGATATATAGAATAAGGGCACGTATATTATGCTCTCGCAGGAGCATAGTTTGTAACTACTTTCTCATTCAACACACTTATTTATGAAGATTTATTTGGTCTAAAATTTTGGGAATCATATAAGAATTACCATATGTTATTTTCAAAAGAAAATAAATAAATAAATTTTGAGTTTTGAGACACTCATATCTAGCCCTTAAAAAAATTGGACAGTCTCTATTCAAACTTGAGTTATCAGTTTTTTCTAGTACATAGAGAGCTTATTTCAATTTATTTTTTTACCCAAGTTGGTATATGTAGAGATTACATCCCCAAGTTTTGAGATCTAAAATGCATCCCTAGCATGTATTTTGCCCAAGGGAGTAAATAAATACTCTACTCCCATGGGAGTAGGGAAATCTCTTTCTAAACTTCATCAGGTTGTTTAGAATTTGAGATGATGGTTGCAATACCATACAGTCTCATGTGCTGTAGCGACATACCTCCTGGTGTGAGAGAGAGAGAGATGGTTAATTAGGGATGTTCTAGTCTTTTATCATTTTATGATGTTAGGGTCGTCAATGGTTGAGAGTGGTTTAGAGGGTCTCGAGGCGGCCGTGGTGTATGGTCGGTTCGAGACCCAATATGGGGTGTTGTTTTTATTCAACCAATAAAAGCATCTCTCTCTAGATGAATTTTTTTTTTTTTTTTCTCCTGTATGTTGTGACCATGGATTTTTTGTGTTCAAGTGCGTCGTATAGCTAACGTTGAGACTTCCATTTGAGCGACGAAAAAAAAAAAATAGAGAAGCTAATGTGAAAACAACGAACGAAACAAGAAGCTAGGGTTGGCAAATATACAAGGTGGCTTGGCTTGGTTATGTATACGTGCCCTAAAAGCTAGGGCGTAGGCTAGAAAATATGGCCAGAGGGCTACGCAAGGTCTGAACCACCATAGCCGAGGCCCAAAGCCTTTATAGGTGGCCGAGCCCGGCCCTCTTTTACCTTAAGTTTTCTTTCCACGTTTCACTTTGGATCTATAAGGTCCGGTTCAGCCTAGACAAGGCTAGGACCTCCTAGGGCCTATCCGGGCTTAGCTAGACTCGAGCCAGCTCTATAAAGACCAAGATTAGGCTAGGGCCAATACTAGTAAGGGCCACGGCTGGCCCATCCCAAGCCCGACCCTTTCCCAGCTCTACATAATGGGAGGTGCAAGGCTTTGTCTCTCTCTCTCAACATTCTTTGAACATGGCCTCCTTGCTCCTATCTGGAGTCATTATACCTCGAAATCTCTTACATGACAATAGATTAAAATGAGGGTAAAAATTGTATTAGCTCTTGAAGGGTAATTTTTGAAAAATCTTTCATGCGACTCTCTTTGTCCTATCCTCTGTTTAAAAAACTTCCTCTGTTTAAAAAATTGCAGACCCGTCGTTTTCCTTACCTCAAACTTAAGGAACTTACCAAGCTAAAAAATGTGGACAAGTCATTTTCCTTCCCTCAAACTTAAGGAACTTACCAAGCTACTCTGTAAGCCATACTCACTCCCTTTTTTAGCCATAATAAATAGGTACTCCCTCCCTCTCTTGGCCCGCCCCTCTCTATTGAACCTAATCCCACCCCCTCTCTCTCTTCAGCCCTAACCCAGTCCCTTTATATTCAGCCCTAAGCCCGCCCTCTCTCTTCAGCCCTAAGCCCGTCCCTTCTTTCTTCAACCTCAATAATTGGGTTTGTATAAGTGTTCCCTCCCTCTTCAAGTCGTTTCTTCTCTGTTGAGCCTAATAACTGATTTGCATAAGGTATAACTTATTTGCTCCTTCTCTAACTAGTTATTTTGATGTGGATAAGCCCAATCTTTTTAGTCTACCCTCTAGTTTACTAATCAAACTTATTCCCATTTTTTAACTTGTACGATAAAATTTTTGAATTTGTTATCATAAATGTATTGCTTATTGAAATTATATAGAGACAATTGAAAGACTTCTATAAAAAATAAATAAAAATAATGCTTATCGTAATAAAAATATGTTATTCCAATTACTTATCATGTTGAAACCAAAGTCGGTTAGAAGACATGTGATTCCATGTAAATGCCAAAAGCATACAAAATAAGTAGGAAATGGTGTAACGATGAGTTTAGAATAGTACAAGCTATTATTAAAAAATCTTTTTGGAATGGTGATGATGTTATTATTAGAAAATTTTGTGTAATGGTATGATGATGACTTTAATTCCACATGTCAGTGGAATTTTGTGACACAAAAAAAAAAAAAAATATTTTATAAGCAAGTGCTGGTAAAAATGTTGGTAATGTATCTCTCATATTTCTTCGAGACATAGCCAAACAATAGGAATGTATTTCCCAGGTTGCATCTGAATACTACCCAAACAGTAACAATTCATTTGCAGGTAACGTATTACGCAATAATGTGTGATAATAGTAATATATTTCTAGGTATCCAAATAATATAGTAATTTTTTGTTTAGGGGTACTTTAAGTAATTAATCAAGGGTAAATTATAAATTCCTAATAAAAATAAAAACATTTATTAACAATAGTGGATAATGACATCACCGATATGGTGTGTGATATCACCCACAAAATGCATTAATTGTTTTTAAATACTAATAGAATGCCACTATTTTTTTTATAAAATATCTATTTTACCCTTCTAAATGACAAAAAATGCCCCTACTTAAAAAAAAATTTATTACAATTCAAGGGTATTTTAGTATAAAAAAATGTTGAGCACTTTGAGGGTGTAAGTGGTATAGCCTAATATATATATATATATATATATATATATATAAGTAATAATCCTATGTGTCACACCCCAAGAATTTACAATACTGTTATTCCTGAGATGTGACAGACAAAACATATATACATCTATTGATAGGACTAATTTACAGTGGCGAGGTCTTACAAAGTAAATAAAAAAAGCTAGCACAACAACAGTATCTTTCAAGGTTGATCTTGACTAGCACTCAAAATGAATCCGCAGTTATCCTGAAAAAAATGTTTACCATAGTTTGATGAGTTTGGCTACTCAGTAAGTGATCATCATAATTCTAAAAATAATTATGATTGAAAGATATCAATATTTTCCAAAATGAGATCTATTAACAGAAATGCATCAACAGTTTCACTTTCAATAAATGCATAATTAAGTATAATCTGAGTAATCGAAATGCTTATAACACTTTTAGCGGCAGTACATAATTCAAAGGATTTCACAAAATACCCTACTGGCGTCCCAAGTAGGTCACCTATATACCCCATCAGCTTCTTGATGGGTCCACTTAATCCCTATCGGCGTCCCAGATAGGTCCACTTAATCCTTGCAGGTCCACTTATACCTCACCGGCGTACCGGATGAGTTCACTTAATCCCTACCGGCGTCCCAGATAGGT